GCCGCTACTTCTACTCTACGCTTGATGTATCTCACTTTTCGAAGGAGAAGAGTTTGAAGTTGAAAAAAATAATGTGACAAATATATACCTTAATTTCAAATATTGATTTAAACTAAATATCATGCATACATGCACTAGATTCACTCATTCTATGGAGTACTAGATTATATGAGATATTTCGTAAGCGTATAGTTCTCAAAGATAAGATTTGGTTTCCTGTTATTATATTATATAATTTATTTTTAAAATTATTTACTTCATAATACAGCAATGAAATGGATTTAAATGTTGCTAGTAGAAACTGAAACTAATGAATGTAAGTTAATTTCTGGAAATACTTATTTTAACATTTACATTTAACTTTCTCTTAGAAATATTTGAATGTTCAAATACAAAGAATTAAACGTTTGTTCAAAAATCGTTAGCAAACTTTAAAATCTCGTATTATTTGAATATGATATCAATTAACCCAAAGATGAAACTCAAATCAGAAAGAAATGCAATGCATAAATAAATAATTCGCCATTAAGTTTTTTTTAAGAACAAATTATTTTTGCAATATACAAACCTCACATTCATAAATAAAAACGTGCAGTTGTTTTTAATTTAAAGAAAAGTAGGTTGTTTGAATGAAGTTTTTGAAAAAAAGAGCCCTTTTTATCAACAGAAAAAGTAGGTTTACTTAAGATAATGATTTAGATTAAAAAAACAAAATGGAAAAGGAAGAAAAATTGTCATATGAATTTTATTCCGCTTAACAGTTATTCAAAAAAAAGCAAAAGAAAAAATTATAGCAAAAAACAAGTGGCTTGTTAAAATATTATCGTTTTTAAATTCTGCCTCATTAACCAAAACGAGTTATGCTTTATAAACCCTAAAAGATTACAATTTGTTTCAGTATTTCATTTTTTTCAGACTTAAATTTTTCGAGAGGATGTATTTAAAAAAAAAACCTGGTTGAAAATTGTTCAGAATGTTTCAGATTTTTGGATAAAAAATCGATTTATTTATGCTTGATTTACTTATGCTTACGCTTAAGTGAAAGAAGAAATTAAATGATTTTAAAACTCTGTCGTTTTAATAATGAAATATATAGATAATTTTAATATTGAGATGTTTTAATAAACATTATATTTTTGGTAGGAATCTTTTGTTTGTCTACTCAGAAGACTGAATATAGTGCGCTTATTTTTTAAATCGTCTATCTTTTGGAACACAACTTTGTACTTTTTTTCCCTGTAAACACAAAAAAGTAAAGAATTTAAGTCTAGATACACTGTTAAAATTTTCATTCTGAAATTATGGTAAAATAACTGACAGCTGTCTGTCCATCCGATTAACCGTAAAAATTACGGTAAAACAATTTTTTTTCCTCTATGGTTTTGAAGCCATTTACAAAAAGTATTTTTATAAAACCATGAATACAAAACTACACGGTTTTTTTAAAATTTACAACTGACATTTTTCAAAAACGTAAAACCAAAGTTATTATTTAACTAGACATAGGAGCTTGGCTTTTCGTAAGGTAATGGACATTGAAGAGTGCCGGATACTGGAAATTCTTCATGTGTAGAAGAAAATAGTGTGGTGTCTACACTAGGACTCGAACTCCATTTCTGCCAGTCATGAGACTGACAGGTAAGCCAGTTCGGCTATGATCTGTACGCAGTTGAAAGGAACTAAGTAGATTCATTAGGTGGTTCTAGTTGGTGCGATAAAATTCTGCTTGTTTAACCGTATTAGGTGAAAGCAGTTGATAAACAGTTTTCCTCAAACTTGAAAGTTTGATTACCGTTTTATTTATTGTTATTTGACTGTTTTGATTAAGTACGGTAAAATAACCATGCAATAAATTGTTATTTAAGCATTTTTTCCGAGAAATTGCTAACAGTGTATTACAAATCTTCTTCGTTGGGGAAAAATTGCTGTTAGGTTAATTTTCAGTACACTTTCTTTTATTTCCATCTTATTTTAAATGTAACACACTGCTTGTTTATTCTTGCTGGAGGGCACTACAAATCAAAAAATATAGTAAAAAACTAGACACTTACTAGATTTTAAAATTCTGTATCTCAAAATGAACAAAAATGGAGTTTTCCGCTATTCAAATAAGGTCATATAAACATGTTTATTGCGATATTGATTTAGATGCAGCGTAGTAAACGCTCAAATTACCAACAAGTTGCTGAATAATCAAATACTAATTTCAACGAAATCAATATTTGAGAGCACGCTTCGAAAAATTTCAACAGACTTCAGCAGTTTTGGCGTCTCCCTGCACACGCCAAATCAATAGCTTAATACAATTATTTCAAAACATCTCTAGGGAAAGAACATCGAAACGGTGATGAGAAACAACGAGTAGTTTGTAATTGAAAGGCAGCCTGTTAGTTAATGAGGTGGCGAAGTCTGATGCTGATGTAAATTAGGAAACGAAACAATAACAGCATTTTCAGAATCATTATCTCTTTTCCTTAAAAGCTTTATTTCGACGCTGCATTTGCTGTTTATTAACGAGCTTGGCCGTGAGCGGAATACATTTACAATGTTTTGGCGCCAAATTTCCACGCAATGATAGAGTTTGAAGATTATTTGGCTGTGATAACGTGTAAATTAATGGTATTTAAGGATTATCCTGTAGTAACGTTAGGACAATGGCTGGGAGTGAATTTGAAATATATTTAAAGGAAGAGGAGCGGTTTCAAATGTCAGTGCAAGATGACTAAGATTTACTTTTGAAATTAATGGTATTATAGTAAACGGTTTACTGAACAAAAGGCATTAGTTTTCAAAGCATTTCAAGCACTCTAAAAATTAACTTTGAAACTAAACTAAAATGATCACTTCTAATAAATACTTTGTGCCAAATATTCTATGGAACTACAAAATATATGAATGTATTTACTTTTAGGTATTTAAGTTCTTTTTTTTTATGTATGGGGCACATGAAAAGCGATTTGGGAATACCAAGCAAATAAATAATTTTATCATTTTGCTTCGCTGAATCTTTAGAAGTATGTTTTCTTTTAAGAACTTGTAAAGAGTTGTGGTTGCTTAGGGGATGGAGCACTCGCCTCCCTATGAGGGGAACCGGGTTCGAATCCCAGCAATGGCTGGAGGAAACGAATTCCGCACCCGACCTTGCACCAACCACATTGCTGACGTAAAATATCCTCAATTGTAGATGGGTTATCTTGGTAGATGAGGATCTTGGGTTAACGTCTCCTCGCCATCAGACTATCAGTGCTAAGTTTTTGTGGTTTTCCTCTTCATATAACGCAAATGCGGGCTAGTTCCATCAACAAAAGTCCTCCACAAAGGCAAATTTCTCGAAATACTTGATCAAGGAGTTCCATTGTTTTCTGGATTGGGTTAAAAATCAAAGGGCTACGAAGTTGAACATCGGTAGTCGTGAACCCAAAATTGGGTCGGCTGTTCGACGACGGTTATAAAATAAAAGAACTTGCAAAAATCTTTCAGAAGAACATAATGGATTTTTTTTCGATAATTGATGGCGCCCATTTAAAATTTTAATTGAATAAGCCATATTTTAAGGATAAGAGTTTATATATAGTTACTATTGAAAGGAAACAGTGGCAAAGTAACTAACCGTGTCAGGAATTTTATTACAATAGATTGAAGCATCTCATATATTATATTGTTTTTTTTAAAGATAGTATGAACTTAAAAAGACTTCTTAAAAAGCAATCCCGGAACTGCCTTTTGTGAGTCAGGGGCTTAGGGAGGCTAGAGCTACACAATCATTTTGTAAAAAAAAAATGTGCTCACTATTGAGAACAAGGCTGCCTTTACTTTACTGACATGCTGGTACTCATCGATCTGAAGGTATATGCTCTTTAAGTCTTTAAGTTACTACTGATGACGAGGATCGAACCCCAGTGCTATTATCTAGCTCTCAGTGCCTTTGCTATTGAGTAATACTGGAGTAAATTGTTACTATGTTCAGTTAAGATATTTCTGTAGTAAGGAAAATAATTTAGTTTAAGTATATTAGTTCGAAATAAAAAAAAACTGTAACAGAACAGATAGTGTATGAAACATCCGGCAAAACTCGATGTAACGAGTACGGCATATTTTGAGAACTTTTCGAGTGACCCTGAAATTGCTACAACAAAAGATGCAATATTTCTGCAGTTATAGTACCTAAAACTTACTAAATTTTCAATATTGCAACATTTTTTTGGAAAATACAATTTTTGCTGCTCTAAACTGCGAATGAAATTCTGAACGAAATTCTAAACTGCAGGTAGGAACTTTATTTACATCGCACTTGAGCTGCACAATCGGCTATCGGCGACGTTCTGGGAAACATCCCTGAGGATGATCCTAAGACATGCCACCGCAATTTTGATCCTCTGCAGAGGTGATGACTCCCTTGCTTTAAGAGCCCTGCGCGCGAAGTCGAACACTTTATGGTAGAACAGTTTAATGAGGAACGATATCGCACACCGTCGGTTCCTACGCAGGCTGATCAAAGTGGTCACCCACCCGCTTACTTAACGCAGCCAGTGATGCTTGACCTCGGTGTTCTACTGGGCAACGTATCTTCACGATCAGTCCACTTCGGGGCAAATTTTAAACGGGGAAAAAAGGAAAAAGAGAAGCTATTTTTAATTATTTCTGTTATCAATACCAAAAATGTGAATCGAACATCATTTCGCCTGATTTCTTTCGTTAATTAAAAGGATAGTAAACGTCTGGGCATCCTCTGAACAAGTCATCTTCATTCCTACTTAAAAAGATCTACTACAAAATCCTGTGGCAAGCCTCAAAAGGATTTGCCATTTGATTTTGTCCCTCCTTGATATCTTGCTATTGAAATCAACATTCAGTGTTAACTATGACATCAAAAGTTATTCTACATTATTATGGTGGAATCAATTTCATTGCTATTTTCACATTAAATAGTGCATTTGCTTGTAACGAAAAATTCACCTTCTGTAGTTTTAAATCCTATTCACATTATTTTTATTTTATAGGGGAAGACGTGTGATGGGCAGTGGGTGGAGGCTATGGATCTGGAGGAGCTGCATTTTGCGGATGATTCAGCAGATGATCCATACGAGGTTGTGCTTCTTCCAGACACCAGTAGGAGGATTGCTCCTCATAACAGACTTTCGCCCGCACACGCCTGCCTACCTTTGCCTCTAAAAGGTAAATTATACCATTTTAAAAAGTATAGCATTCCTGAAAGCTTATTGTTTATTTATATTTATCTGACTATAGACAGCGAAGAGCCATTACATTATGAACACCCTGCTAATAACATGTAGGACCACCTTTAGCCCTCAAAACTGCTTAGCACCCGCCGTGGTATTGATTCCACAAGGTGCTGATAGGTAGTCTGAGGTATCTGGTACCAAGCGCTCACCAACTGGTCCTGCAATTCCTTCACATTGCGAAGGGGTAACGTGGCAGCACGAATTTGGTTTTCCAAGTAGGACCACAAATGCTCTATTGGATTAAGGTCAGGTGAATCTGGGGGCAAGGACATGACTTGAAAGTCACTGGAATGTTCCTCGAACCAATCCATGACGATTCGACCCTTATAACATGGTGCATTATCCTGTTGGTAAACACCATCCCCCGCAGGAAAAACTGTTGCCATGAATGGGTGAACCTGGTCTGCAACTATGTTCAAGTAGCTTACAGACGTCAGGGATTGTTCTATGAGGATTATGGGTCCTAATGTGCCCCATGAAAACGTTGTTCCTGGGTGAGAAACCATGAAAACCTGGTGAGCGCATTGTTATAGATGGAGGGTGGTCATAATGCAGTGGCTCTTCGGCGTATACGTTAACACTTAAACAAAGAATATGGTTATTTTGTCTGCAAACGAGCCTTGAAACAAATGAGAGATGATTATTTGTTTAAAAAACTTAAAAGGTTAATTGATTTTTGTAACATTTACTAACTACTGGAGTTTTTTAGTACCACAAAAGAAAAATTTTAGTGAATCATATTTCACACTGAATTACAGAAGCAAAACTACAGGGATCAGAAAAACTTTATTTCTAAATGAGCTTTCTCGTTGAAAATTGCACAGAAATTGAATCTAGTGGAGTGAAAATGAAATAAGAAGAATAATTTCTGATGATATCAGATAAATGTTTTTTTATGTCCCTTACACTATAAAAATGGATACTCAAATATCACGAAACTTTCTTCGTTTTTGACGAAACCGTTTCCTAGCATATGCTCCGAGCAAACATTTCGTCAAAGTGGCGAAACTTCTTCAAGAAAATGAATTTCGTTAAAATTAAATAAATATTTCATAATTCTTTTTTTTAAAGAAAAAAGAAGAAAAAAAGAAACCTCGTTGGAGAAACCTCGAATATATCGAACTTCTCTAATAATTACTTTAGCATGAGCACCATATAAGTGGCATAACAACAAAACAAGGACAGTCAGAAGGGAAAAATAAATTATAGTTACGCCCGAAGCAGGATTGGAACCTCGAATTTCTCCTACAATGAACTATGATGAGGTTTCGAGTTGAGGAAACCTTTTCGTCACATATTTGAGAGTTCATGTTTCATCACAAATCACGTGATTTAGTGACAAAATGATTCTTAAAATTAACGAAATATTGCCCAAGGATTGCAGCATCGTCAAATGTGAGAATTTTATTTCTGAAACTGTAATTTTCAGGCAAAATATTATTAAATATTTTACTGAATTTTTTAGAATAAAGACAAAAGTATACAAATATTGAATATGTTAACGTAAAACTATTATTTGTTTAATTATTGCTTTGTTCATAGACTGGAATACAAGCAAAATTTCTAAAAACCATCTGTCCCAAGAAAAAAAAATTTTTTCTTCATATTTTGGATATTGTACCGCAAAAACCAAATAATAAGATACAACTTGTGAAATATAATAATGAAAGATTGAAAAAAAAAGTAATATCGCATGCTCAAAACATCTCGTTTATCTATAAAAGGCATTTTTATACTTTAAAAATCCATAACTTGTTAAATATTTATGTAGAGCAATGCTAAATTTTGTATCAGCCATCGAATTAGAACCATAAAAGATATCACGCAAGAAAAATATAGTGAAAGTCTCTTTTATGTAAGAAATATTTTATATGCTAAAATATATTGTGAAAAGCGTAGACTGGAGAGATTTTATGGAGCATCTTTTCATATGTTGTCAATATTTTGATGTAAAGTGCTTTTCAGAATGCAGCGCTTGCACTTGTAAGCACGCACTCCTTTTCTTGGAGTGACACAAAAATGAACAAAAATTTAAAATCTCTTTTCAAAGATGAGTAACATCGAAATCCGTAAATGGATGTTGAATTTTATTTTTACCTAACAGCTCTATACGTCCTTTCAGAGATAAGGCATTGCACTTAATGGTTTCCGTGCTTGAATCTAAAAAAATGTAAAAGAAATCGAATTTTTCTCTGATATAGTGATATGGAAAATATCATAGTAATAATAATAAAACACTCAGGAATTGCATTTAAATTTTAAATTAAACAATTGCTTAAGTCAAACTTAAGTTCCTTGAAATAAAATCATAGATACACACCGTGAGAAATGGATTAAATTAAGTTTCAAAACTACTGGTACCCAGAGTTCCAGTATTTTTATTGTAAAATTTATATTTACGGTTACATTTTATAGAAAAAATCTGTCTTACAGTAATTATTACAGAAATATTTAGTTAATCACTATAATTAAATAAATACTACTGTGAAACATACGGTATAAAATTTTAAGGTAAAAATGAATTTAACTGTAAAATAGATTTTTCAGAAGCTGCACTCAGGGAGAATGTAATTTTACTTGAAATTTTTTTGCATTGCATTGGAACTTAATTTTATATTGAATTCACGTTCATTTATTTATTTCATCAAACATTGTATTTGTAGAGATTTTTAAATTCATGTGCTCCTTGGTGTCAAAATGTTGAGGTAATTTTTCAGAAACTGAAAAAATTCCGTCAGCTTTATTTAGTAAAAGGAAAAACTGCATGATTATATGGGGTGTAAATCTAACAGCTGAAAACTTTGAAATAGGGTATTTTAAATGTGCATATGCAACTACTGAACCTCGATGGTCGTTAATGAGCATATTGCTCGCTAATATGCAGATGTTTTAGGCTGATCTATTAAAGTGCAGAATCAAGCATTTTCAGCATTTTACCTTGGTAACGTGTGCACAATGACACCTTCTATTAAAGCTTTAAAGTTCATTTTTCCTGTAATAATTTCTTATCCCGAGTACTGTTTCTCTCTCTCCCTTGTTCATTTGGTTTCAACAGTTAGTTTTCAATTGCTTGATGATTGATTCTATCTACCATTTTTTTTATTGTCTATATGTATTAATTTGTATTTTTTAGATACCGAAATTGAAATAAATAACTTCAGATTAGTTTAAGTTTGCAAAAACTTTTATTTTAGCTCCAACAAATATTTTGTTGCCACTTTCACTATTGTCTTGTAGGTAATCAACAGATTGTCAATGTAATTTGCAGATTACTTAGGTAATCTGAGCATTAAAACAAATTTTGACACTTAAACAGATCAACCTAGTTAAACTGCTGATTGCATAGATTTTAAAAAAAGCACCATCTCTTCAAATTTACATGAAGTAACAAATTATACGCTATTGACTGTGCAGTATATACCTTTTTAGTTCCTTTTTTTACATTTGTCGTGAAAAATATTTTCGTGTTTAATAAATCTTTTCATGGAAATTTACTTATAATGAGAAGTTATAAGAATTTTTAAATTGACTTCTACTATTATCTATAACATAGATGTTGCTTTTTGAGAGCTTTAGATTGCAATTAGAAAAGCTCTTAACATAAATCAATGTTATCTAATCTGTTAATTATTCAAATAAGACGCTTGTTATGTTTTTTTCCTCATATCATAAGAAAAAAGTAGTTATATCAGTAATATTTTTTTTTAAAAAAGACAAGATATCATTGCGAAATATTTAAATAAAAAAATCATTGAGATAAAATGGTACAACGAAATTAATTGATAGTTCGACAAACAATATTTTAATTAATGCTCGACAACTCTGAGTTTAAGATTCAGAGGAATTTACGTATTTTTTTAAAAATTTCAGAATAAAGAAACGAAACAATATTTATAACAAATATCTTTGTTTTTGACAGAAAGATAGAAACATTTGCTTTTAATGTAAGCGGAATTCCTAAAATAGAAGCGGATTTAAAATTTTCCATCCTTTGAATATCAAAGCTCAGCCTGGAGTGAATTTTGCTTTTTTAATGTTTGATCGCAGTCAGAGTAATCCATTTCATGAAGTGCAATTGAAAAAAAAGCTTTACGGTACAGAAAACTTTTAAATTGGTTCCAGTAATGATTTCTTATTCTGAAGAATTCAGAAAGAAAGTAAGAGGAAACTTGTCAGATACTCCAAGTGAAATATGAATATCTTTGTTTTCACTTCTTAAAGGATCTCTTCACTAACATATTTTTGCAGGTCATCAATGCAGAAGTAAAAACTTCAGAAACTTTTTGATAAGACAAAGTGTATTAAAATAAAAAAAAAAGAAATCTATTGAATAAAAAAAGTTTTATTATTACTTAAGGAAGTTGGTTTATTTTGATATTTTCATACGGAATTGTTTTGTTAATTAAACCATTCAATTTTTTTATACTTCAAAGTAGAAGTATGAGAATTGTTTTTTTTTAGTTTAATTATAAAGATTTTAGAAATGATAGATTCAGCTAAAATAATATATGTGGGTATTAAAGTGGGTTGAAAAAATATATTTATTTTATATCTAATAGAGGTAGCGTGAAACAGTAGTTAACTGTGGTAGTATTTAGAGGTAGCCTTAAGTAGTATAATTAAGATGGTTTTCTGGTCTAGAAGTCTGATTCAATAGTCCCATTTTTAAAATTTCTTTAAAGTGAAATGAAAGTTATAAAATGATTTTCCTGTTTAATTTTAGTTATGTTAAAGTTTTTCTAGCCAGAGATAATTATAAATTATCATATAAAAATGATGGCGATGATAGAAGTGCAAGCTATGCACTAATGAACGGGCATTGGAACTCCATACTGTTTAATTTGAAGCAGATGAGACCAAAAATTAACGATTATGTATAAGAGTAGCTATAATAAAAATCAAAAGTCAAGAAAGTCAAAAATCTGTAAAGAT